AAATGCATGCACACGGGGGCCTTCAACGAAGTTCATGGGAAACGCAGCTATGAAAATGCTGCATGGACTTCAATTTTTCTTTTGCTGTAACTTATCTTTTGATTTAATTTGTCCACATTTTTATGAACTCTCATAGTAGGCTGTTTGTATCCTTTAGATAACAGAATCAACACCCATGAGCAAAGCCCCCACACAAGGAACAAGAGCTCTGGGTGGACTCCAGCCCCCACCCCGCCCAGCCGGGCTCGCCCTCCTCGCTTCCGTAACAGCCGCAGCTGACTGGCTGTGGTGCGCTCACTCTGCCACTCTGAAAGCAGGCCTGGCAAAGGGTGGAATGGATCACAAAAATACTGGATCATCACACCCACTTGCACGGGCCGGGCTCCACCTGGGCCAGGGCTGGTCTTTCCCGCTCTCGACCCGCGCTACGTACGGGTCCAGTCACACCTCTCAGTGATGTACGTTTCAGTCATCACCTCCATCGACACCATGGAGTCGAAGACCAGAAATAAGAACCGGAGCCGTCGCCCCCCCATTCCGCAGCCTCTCTGCCCCTCCCCTGCGGGCAGGGAGAGACCGCAGCCGGAGCTCCCCCAGCACCTGCCCAGCACGACTTCGAAACTCCAGTGGAGGGGGACTGGGCTGTGCCCTCCACACTTGCTCTCTGCAAATGGGAGTGGGGGCTACAGGCACTCTGCCCGGAACACACAGCCTGCCTCCTCTGTGTGCTGGCAACTGAACACAGAGACGGCACAGCCAACCCAGAGGGGACTGCACTCCATCCTCGAACGCTGGGCTACAACCCTGGCTACGCACGGCCGGGAACGAGTCACCTGTGTGGGTGGCTATGAAGCGGATAGCCCTCCCCACTTGGGAGAAACATAGCGGCTTATGTCACTGTCAGCAAATGCTCCGTCTCCCTCCCCCCCTTCCCCGTGAGAGGCAACACGTCCCCCTCCGCTGACGATGCGCTGGGCCTAGGCCGTGCACCGCCCAGTGGAGTCTGTGGGTCTTAGCCCACGTGCGAGCACAGGCGTTAGCGCGCTTGGGTGGTCTCGCCCGCCTGGCCTCTGGGGCCAGGGCCTGGTCCCCGTCACATTATCACCATTACCCAAATTGGGGACACCAGCATTAGTTAACCATCTTTAGTGGCAAAGGCCATAACAATACCATGAAACCACTATTCAGCTTATCAATGACTTTTTCATCTCCTTACACAAAAATACAGAAATTTTAAACATTAGAGAAATGTTAATAACAAACCTGGCAGCACACGTGCAAACGACACTAAATAGATTATAAAAATAAATGAAGGGGTTGGTGCTGTGGAGTGTGGAGTAGCGGGTTAAGCCTCCGCCTGCAGTGCCCACATCCCATATGAGCACTGGTTCGAGTCCCGGCTGCACCACTTCTGATCTGGCTCTCTGCTGTGACCTGGGAAAGCAGTGGAAGATGGCCCGAGTGCTTGGGCCCCTGCTCCCATGTAGGGGGCCAGAAGGAAACTTCTGGCTTCTGGCTTCGGATCGGCCCAGCTCCGGCCGTTGTGACCTTTTGAGGAGTGAAACAGCAGATAAAAGACCTTTCTGTCTGTCGCTCCCTCTCTCTGTCTATAATTCTGCCTCTCAAATAAAGAAATAAACCTTAAAAAAAATAAATCTTCATGGTAAATGGAATTAAAAGATAAAATTATTTCAAAAAAGACTTTTTGCCAGTGAAACTGCATTGTTCAGAACTAGATTCATGATAGGATGTGTCTCACGGGACTCTGTGTCACCAGCCTGTAATGATCCCTCTTTAATTAATTTATGTATTTACTCATAGGTGACAGTCCCCGAATCCTGTGAACCACCCACCAACACGACTGATTAGTGGGGTGGCCCCCAGCCACATGTGGCTTTAAATTTAAAATAATAAAAGGGAAGCCAAACAAAAACCGGTACATCTGAGCCACAATTCCAGCGCTCAGTGGCCACGTGCAGACAGCAGCCACCATGTTGGACACAGCAGCCCTGCCGTGCAGAGTTCCGTGGGACAGTGCTGGGATGCGCTCGCCCCGCGGGCCCGGTCGGGAACACTTTCTGATGAACCTGACCAAGTAGCCACGATCCCCGACTCGTGGGAGCTGCCGTCAGTGGTCTACTGGGACCCTGACTCATCACGTAAGGAACCGTCCACGCACAACCGCAATCCCCATCTCTCCCCGCAAGGACACGAACATTCTCTTTCATTCCTTCATGCTGCTTTTTTTTTTTTTTTGACAGGCAGAGTGGACAGTGAGAGAGAGAGAGAAACAGAGAGAAAGGTCTTCCTTCCGTTGGTTCACCCCAAAAATGGCCGCTACGGCCAGCGCGCTGCGTTGATCCAAAGCCAGGAGCCAGGTGCTTCTCCTGGTCTCCCATGGGGTGCAGGGCCCAAGCACTTGGGCCATCCTCCACTGCACTCCCGGGCCACAGCAGAGAGCTGGACTGGAAGAGGAGCAACTGGGACAGAATCCAGCACCCCGACCGGGACTAGAACCCGGTGTGCTGGCGCCGCAAGGCGGAGGATTAGCCTAGTAAGCCGCGGCACCGGCCTTCATGCTTCTTGCCCGAGGGAATGTTTACATGGACTGTGCACATCCACAGCGAAACACAAAACAGCTGTGGAAGGGATGAGACAGGCCAGGTTATTTTTATATGGTCAGGCAGACAAAATTACAGCAACCACAATCCTTTTATCCTTGGACCATTCTCATCGCCAGCCCGTGCTTGGTCTTTTATTTATTTTATACCTTTATGTAGTTATTTATTTTTAGGACTAAAATCAACATCCAACACAGCACCGTGCAAACCAAGAACTCTGACTAACTCCTTACCCAACGCATCTCTTACACAGACCCTGGACGAATCAATTCCAGGATGGTTAGCGCTACGTTTTCGTCCAGTTTTGTCTTGAGGTCTCTCTCTAAGACGGTGGCTACAAATTCTGGTCTTGGCCTGACAGGCACCCAGGAGAGGTGGCTTGGCCTTCACAGGCCACGTATTTGTCCTGGTGGACAGCCTGGTGCCCAGGGTCTCACCTGTGGCCTCGCCCAGGGACGGCGTTCACACCGGCAGATGCCCTGGGGGCTCCCGGCTGAGTCCGGTTGATTCCAACCCAGACAGCAAGACAGCCTCTCTCTAGGATCCCTGACCGAGTTAGGTTCAGGATGTTGGCAAGTGTAGACAGAGTGGGCACAGCACAGGGGACGCAGGTCTCAGCTGCAGTTCCCCGGGAGAAGGCCATGAGCCTCACAGGGACAACAGGGACTGTGGCCCAGGGCACACAGCAAGCAGGCTCCCTGCACGAACGCGAGTGGGGCGCAGAGCAGGCCAGGGGAGCTGCCGGGCCATGCAGGCCAAGTGGGCTGTGCCCGAGTCAGCAGGACGAGCAACACCAGGCCCGCTTCTGGGTCCGTCCCAGCGAGGGTGGGGAGGAAGGGGAGAACTGAAAGCCGTGTCGAGGGTGGCCCAGCCAGCTCCGGACGAGAAAATCCGAACACACGCCAGACGGACGCCAGGGCACTGCAGGACGGCGAGATCCACAAGATCGCCCTCCCGCTCTCACCGACGCGTCCTTCGAGAGCTGACCCGTTTCTGAGAGCCCTGGACTGTCCAGCCGGAGATGTGAGGAAGAGGGGGCAGGTGCCCGGGACGCCCGAATCACGTGAGCACGGCCTGGGCTGGCGCCCTGGTCCACTTCCAACCCAGATTCCTGCTGAGCGGCCGTGAGGGCCCGAGGAGCCGGGTGCCTGCCACCCACATGGAGACCCTGGCTCCTGGCTTCCTCCTGGCTCAGTCTCTGCTACTCTGGGCCCTTGAAGAGCGAACCAGGGGATGGAAGGCACCTCTCACTTTCTCTCTCTTCCAAATAAATATTAAAAAAAATTAAGACTACCAACCATTACTTAATTTTCTTTGTAAGTATCCTATCCAGCCATATGGAGCCCAAACGTCTCCAAATGCCACGGTCAGGCCAACGACGGCATCACCAAGCTCAGCGATGCACACAGCGGCCAGAGAGGCAGGGAGGCGGTTCTGCCCGACCCTCGGCTGCTAGACTGACTCACAGCCTTGCCTTAGGAGCGCCCTCCTCCCTAACCACCGAGCCTTCCACTCTTGTTCATGCGTTTGTTTTAAAAGTCCATGAAAGAAGACCCACAACACAAAAAGCTCCAGTGCCACGTCTCCCTGCGGGGACCGTCCTCACTGAGGGGCATCCCAAACGCCACCGGGAGAAGTGCCAGCACTGCGGTGCACAAACTAACGTGAATCAAAATCACGAAACGCTGAAGATACGTTCACTGTCTCCGGTGTGCTGGGTGTGTCCTTGTGGGTCTTGGACCACGGTATGTTGCCTCAGTTAGTCCACGCCTGATCCCCTCTGATTTCATTTATACATTTCATTAACAAATCCATAACCTGGGCTGGCGCTGGGGCACAGTGGGTAAAGCCACCGACTGCAGTGCCGGCATCCCATGTGGGCGCTGGTTCTAGTCCCAGCTGCTCCACTTCCCATCCAGCTCTCTGCTGTGGCCTGGGAAAGCAGCGGAGGATGGCCCAAGTGCTTGGTTGGGCCACCAACCATACATGAACCCATCACCCAGGTCAAAGACAAGAAAGGAGGGAGGACAGAACACAAGACACACGTGCAGACATGTACAGGAGGGGAAAATGCGCACACGAAAAAACTGCTGCATCAAGGCCAACTCCTGGTGTCACCCGGTGCAGCACCTTGCACACAGGCAGATGACGTACATGAAATGTCTGACTGTTTTTTCTCTTTTCCTTTGCTCATTTTCCGTACAGGGAGCAGCCTGGAGGTACTGTCTGTGTGGTGGAGCTATGCCCAGTGGCACTGGTTTAGGACAGTCTCGTGGCTGGCCCGTGCTCGGTCATCTTTGATTTCATTTGCGTGTCCACTCAGGTTTAATAACACGACCCACCCGTGACCTGACCACTCAGCCTGCAAGCAACACTGACCTGCACTCCACGGCTGGGCTCGGGTCTCCTCCGCCACAGGGCACAGCAGGGTCTCCGTCCGAAGAGGGGTCCTTGCGTCCACTCCAGGGTCCCCGTTCTGTGGACACAAGGCAGATGCTAAGAAGACTGACCAAACCTGGTCTTCTGGAACAACCACGAGGTCAGCAGAACACAGTTACCCTGATTCACCACTGGCCCGAATGCAGCATTAACACCTGTAGTGTTATCTCAGGGTGCACCCCTGCCCTGCCCCAATCACCAGCAAGGCCAGGGGGCACTGGGAGCACCAGGGGACCCAGCCCGGACCCAGACATGCAGAGTAACGCCAGCCTGCGGCCCAGGCACGCTCACGGCTCCCCCTTCACCCTGTTTGCCGTTTTACTTACTTTTCACACACAACAAACAGGCAGGCAGCGGCACTAACCCAGGACAGAAATGCTGCCCAGTGCCTCCGAGCCCTTCTTATCCAGAGTGGCTTTAGACGGCTCGCAGCTGCGCACGAGAGGATTAACCCGGGCCTGAGGTCATGAAACTTTAAGTTCAGCCGCCTTTCATCCTGCCGCTTCCTCGCTCACCGAATTCCCCTAAGTGTACCGCAGACACTCCACACAGGCCTTGGGCCCAGGCCAACGGCTGCCACTGCTTCTGCCCACAGCAGGCTTCCTGCCACCCACAGCCCCACTCCCTACCAGCGGGGTTCCGCCTTCTAAACCGAGTGGAAAGATGGCTGCCTCAGGTTGGAGGGCAAAGGACGCGGGGAGCAAAGAGCCCAACCCTGAGCGCAGCCACGCTCAGTAACGGCGTGCTGTGCACCTGCAGGGCTTAGGGCCTCTCAGCACACCCCCAGGAACAGCGCTGAGAGCAGAAGGGGATGTTGACGAGCGAGCTCCCTGGACGAGTGGGAGCCCCCGGACGGAAAGCCGAGCGTGGGCACTCTGCCATCGCTGCTCCGCGGGGCCTCCTTGGCGTGGCTCACACAGTCGCGCATTGGGACCTACGCAGTGGACGCCCATGAAGCCCCGCTTTCACCTGCCCGCGGTCACCTCCTCGGTCAGGGAAGCCCCCGCGTGCTCCACGTGCGGCACACGGGCCTCAAAGGAAGAGAGGGTCTCGCGCACCTGCTGGTTGCTCGTGGCAGCTCGGCGGCCCTGGCTTCACCACAGTCCTCCATGCAGAACACATCCTCACAGCTGCTCCAGGCAAGGCCGCGGTTACATGAGGTCTTTATTCTTTTCTCATTTTTAATAAGGAAATTGACAGCCGCTGACCGTCCTGGTCTCTTTTCCTATGTCCCTCGGTTGTGCAGAATTCATCACAATCCTTCGCTCTCGACCCATTCCCATCCTTGCCCTGGCAACACCTGTCTTGTCTCACTGATTATTAAAACCACTCATCAGGGCCAGCCCTGTGGCATAGTGGGTAAAGCCGCCGCCTGCAGTGCCGCATCCCATATGGGTGCCGGATCGAGACCCAGCTGCTCCACTTCCGATCCAGCTCTCTGCTATGGCCTGGGAAAGCAGCAGAAGATGGCTTAGGTCCTTGGGCCCCTGCACCACGTGGGAGACCTGGAAGAAGCTCCTGGCTCCTGGCTTCAGATCGGCACAGCTCAGGCCGTTGCAGCCAATTGGAGAGTGAACCAGCGGATGGAAGACCTCTCTCTCTCCCTCTCTCTCTCTCTGCCTCTCCTCTCTGTGTAACTCTTTCAAATAAATAAATCCATAAAAAAAAAAAAAAAAACTACTTGTGACAAGAACCTGCATTCCTCACCTCTCACCCAACCTGTCTCCTACCTTAGAATAACGCGATCAGCAGACCCTACTGCACACCTCCCTGTCTCTCCGGCACGTGTAAGATCTCAGCGCGCATTCGCGTTCTTAAACAAATGCTTCCCGGGGTCAGTGGCTCGCTGGGCCTCTGCGGGAAGTTTCAGCTGAGCACTGGAAAAAGTCACAGCAGAGAATGAGACACCCAGGCTTAACGGAGAACACGCCCACGGGGAAGGGGTGGGGCGGGGCCGTGACTCGAACCCAGAGCCTCCCGTGCTCATGGCCACAGGGCAGCATGAGCCCACGGCTGGAGTAACTATGCTCGCACTGCAGAGCCCACCTCAACCCTGGCTAGGGGGTCAACGCCCGCGCTGAGCCTGCTTCTCCGCCCTAGCCTCAGTGCAGCCGGGCAGACAGCCCTCCGCCCAGTCCCTGCCCCCTGCCGCAGTGCCCGAGCTGTGGTGCTAGGCAGACAGACTGACCAGGTTCCACCCCAGCAGGCACTCAGAGCCGTGCAACTGCAGAGACGTGACCTGGCCTCTCTGTCTTGTGCCCCGGCTTGTGCGATTTGTAGAATGACCCTCCCGGGTACAACACGAGGGCGCCCAGGACTCCCCACTAGTCCTCAGGACCCCTGCCCGCCCGGCACCCCGCCACCCACCCCGCGGGCCCGGAGAGACACAGTCGTCTCGACGTTCAGGCCACGCCGAAGCTCTCGGGAAGGGTGGGCTTCAGGCAGGAAATCGGTGGGATCTGTCCTTTCCTGGACACGGCATCAAAGCTTGAGCGAGTGTCCTGGAAAACAGAAATCCAGCTAACGGGATGCGCTTTGGAAGACGAAAATTCAATTCATGAAACGGGACTGCTCTCGGGGAGTCTCCGCGGGGTCTGGGTGCTCCAAGTGTTTCTGGGATCCGGCCCGTACCAGTCGCACACTGCCGGCTTCCTCACCGGCCTCCCGGACCGGCCCCAGCAGCCACTCGGCACATGGTGGTGCCGTGACCCAGGTGCCAAAGAATATGCTACATACAGCTGTAATGTCACAAGGACATGACAACGTCGGTGCGGGGCCGCCGTTAGGGACCACCAGGCTGGAAATCTGCCTCCTGCCTGCCTTTTCGGGAAGCCCCGTACCCTCCCCAAGCCTCTGGGGGCAATCATCCAACCCGACCTCCCCCCTCCCCGGTGCGGGGAAAATGAAAAGCGTAACGTTTATGAGCAAGCTCCCACTGAGCAGAAGGGACTACCCACAGCGTACCTGCTTCGCCCGGCACACGGCGCTCACGGCACGCTTCGGCACACACCGTCGCCTCTGATCCCTGCAGCGGTCCTGTGGACCAGACATGACAGCCGTATCGGCCAACACTCACTGCATGCATCCCCCACGCCAAGCACCCTACCGCCTGCACTGCACACACCGGCGCTCCTCGGGCGTGGGTACAAACCCCGACCCCTGGACCGTCAGCACCTCTCCTTTTTAGCCCCCCAAAAGTTGTGAGCACCCACCCTGAGCCAGTCACCGGGTCTAGGTGTGGAGACGAGGCCGTGAAGAAGGCACATGACCACCACTGTGGGAGGAGACAGGAAGTGCGGCGTGCAGGACAGGAAATGGTCAGGGAGAGACGGCCTCACCCAGATGTGACATCTGTGCAAGAGCATCACGCGTCCTATTGTGCCCACAAAGCGACCTGCCAGCGGTCACATGGCTAGGAGGTGCCGTGCGGGAGGCGGCTCAAGTCGGCATTACCCTGCGCGGCACAATGCCTTCTCGAGTGCGTGGACGCACACGCCTGGGAGGGCCCGTCTGGCCTCCAGCACAGGCAGCCCCAGGAGCAGAGGGAGTACCCAGGAGGCACCAACAGCCCTGGTTGAAGGGGCAGTGACAGCCGTCCCTACGGGACATGTGCAGATTCTGGGGCCAGACCGTGCTGTGAACACAGCCTACGTCGGCGCAGCCCAGCAGGTCAGCACCAGAGCCACCATGTCCCTGGCACCTGGCTCTTAGGGCATCCAACGGCGTACACCAGCACCCTCCCGGCACACTGCCACAGGCCACCTGAGCTCAAGGGGCAACGGTTCTGTCCAAGAATGGGCGGCGATCACCAATTCTCATGCCCCCGTGGTGAGACTCGGAAGGGTTGCAACTGCCCCCTTGGAAACAGCAAGGCAGGAAATAGTTTGAAAAAGGGTGGGACGGGGGCCTGGCGCTGTGGCATAGTGGGTTAATGCCCTGGCCTGAAGCGCCGGCATCCCATATGGATGCCGGCCGGTTCAAGACCCGGCTGCTCCACTTCCAATCAAGCTCTCAGCTACGGCCTGGGAAAGCACTGGAAAATGGCCCAAGTCCTTGGGTCCCTGCACCCGCGTGGGAGACCCAGAGGAAGCACCTGGCTCCTGGCTTTGGATCAGTGCAGCTCCGGCCGTTGAGGCTAATTGGGGAGTGAACCAGCAGAAGGAAGATCTCTTTCTCTCTCTCTCTCTCTCTGCCTCTCTTTCTCTCCCTGTGTAACTCTTGACTTTCAAATAAATAAATAAATCTTAAAAAAAAAAAAAAAAAAACAAACAGGGAAGGGAAGAGATTAAGAGATTTTGACGAGAACTGGGGAACCTGTCCGCCGCTTCCACAAGCCGCAAGTTTAGCTCCACCAGCTCCCAGAACTTTTGCACGGAGAACTCTAACCGCTTGTGTTGCCCTGGGCCCCTCAGCGGGCCCTCAGCTCCACTCTCTCCAGGAAGACCCCTTAGGAAGATGTGCCTTCCCTGGGGCTCCCTTGGGTGGGTCACATCCCGTTGCTGCGCAGAATTCTTGCTTCTGTGCCCAGAACTGAAATCGTCTGTCTTGACTTCGCGTTTTTGTTCGTTTCATTGGGTCCCATTCAAAGCAGCTCTCACGCCTCACTGAGCACCTGTTCAGTCACCTGTGAGAGGTGGGTCAGGACTCCCACGTGACCAAGACGATAAACGACATCTCGATGAGAACTTAGATGACAATGAAAGGGTTATTGCGCGCTCACCATACAGGAGGCACTCTTCTAAACCTGGTATGTGTTTGAGTCCTTTAATCTTCAGCTGTCCTTATTAAGGAACCATTGCTATTTTCATATCACAACTGGGGAAACTGAGGCACAGAGCGTGAACACCTCATCCAAACTGGGCAAACTAGTCAATGGCTGGGACGGAAACTCCTGCATCTGAGACAAGCGATGCGTACACAGCAGTTTCTCAAAACCCAACTGCCGAGTGTAAGCCCGTCTGCGGGAAGCTCACTGACGGTCCCGTCAGCCCTCCATCTGGCCCCCTCCCTCCCTGCCTTGTGCCCCTTCGGGCTCTGCTGTTTCCATCAGCACGCCACAGAAACCTGAGATACCAGGTATCTCATCTGACTTGGTCGGTTGTGTTGCTAGGTGCCGCCGGTACCTGTGGCCCTTGTTTGAGTGATGATTACAAGAAGGAGACACTAGAGAAGGTGTTACTTGAGAAATACAATTAAATTTGATTGGATGAGAAGCTAGGATCACCCACAGACCGGGAGGGTGGGTCTGACATGGGTGAACCCCGAGCAGAGTACGTGATTTTCGAGCACGGTCATGGAGAACAGGAAACAGGGCAGAGTGTGGGTTTTGAAGCAAAGGGGGCTGGGCTCAAAGCATGAGCTCCCTCTATGGCTTTGGGGAAGTCACTTACCATGCTTGACCCTCGGTTTCGTTTTCTTGTAACTGGGGACGGCGATCGCTACCACGGAGCGTGGCTGTGGTGATGTGGAGGAGACAGTACCGGCCAGGGCCAGAGTGTGCGACGGGGGCACAGGGACAGTCATACAGGGCGGCCAGTGGACAGCACTGGCCCCAGCACTGCGTGACAGCAGCAGGCACTGAGCACCCCTGAGCAGGTCAGCACCAGGCTGGCTCTGGGTCCCTGTGAGTGGGCAGACCACCTGTGGTGAGAGGGTATGCTCGGAGCCGGGACAGAGGCAGGAGCGTCACCAGCAAGCCCCACTAAGGCAGGCTCTGAACCCGTTAGGAAACTCTTCTCTCACTGTCCATCCACCATCTGCACTTCAGCTGATCCCCCCACCTTCCACTCATGCCTCCTGACCTAACAGCCATCCTCCCACCTCTCAGTCTTCAAAGGAACCAGACAAACCTGGGTTGGAATCCTGGGTCCCACTTCCTAGCCAATCTTGAACACGTCACTGACCTCCAAGTCCACTCATCTGTCAAACAAAGTGCAGGAGACACAGCTGGGAGAGGGGTGGTGAGGATTTAAGGCGCGAGTGAGGGGACCGGCTCCTGGCCTCTGCAAACGCTCGCGAGCTACGTGTTGAGTCCCTCTGCTTTTGGCAATCGGGCTGGGATTTTTGCAGGGAGAAAACCACTGTTCTCACACAACAAATGGAGAAATGATTTGTAGACGTTCTCAGCGATGTTTCAGTGGTGTGCACAGCCAGGCGGCACGTGGGGTGGCCTGTGATGGGGTCCCCAGCGGGCTGGCACTCCCTGGGGTACCCCCCTGTCCCGGGTCACAGCTGCAGCCGGGATGCAGCAGAGTTGTGAGTTCCAGGAATGGACTGCAGACTGCCCCTGTGGAAGGCGCTGCATGCGCTTGACCCCTTGGGGGGCGTCGGGGGGGTGCCAGCTCCTTTTGTCTTAAGGATGGAGGCCATCTCTGTTTTACCCACCCCCAGCCCACCTCCCCTTGGCGGCTGCTTCTTCTGGCTGAGTGTCTCTGACGTTCTCAGATGCGGGCTTGGGGCCTCCCCGTGTGCTATCTGCAGCCCTCCGGGTGACTGGGAGACTCCTAGAATTCGCCTCATTTTCAGTGAAAAAACTGAGGTTTGCTTAGATTGCGATCGCCTCTGGAGGTCTGGGCGCCCATTCAAGCCCTTGCATTTACAGCTGCACCTCCCCTTCCAGAACCCCAAATGCCCCCCTGATGCCGCAGGGACGGTCTGGCCACTGGTTTGAACAAGTCAACAGGAAGAGAAATTTATGAGTCCATCAGGAATATTAGAACGCCGAACTGATGCATTAAGACAACGCTGCTACTCTTTTAATTTTGATAATGGTGTTGTGGCTAAGAAAAAGGCCTTTTTTCTTCAGGGTGGACTCAGAAGTGCGTGCCTGGGGGGCACTGGCCAAGCTGTGCGGCACCGGGGCCAGGGCAGGCCGGCACCCCGGTTTGGACGGAACCCGGGACGTGGTGTGATGGTGGACGATGCCAGACTGAAGACGGCGCCCACTGTGTTTTTGGAACTACTTCTGTGTAGTTTGACATTTCCCATAAGTGAACTGGGATGGAGACTAGGGACTAGGGACCGAGTGCGGGGGCTTTCGTCTCGGGCCCCGGGCACCCCTCAGGGGCCAGGTGTGGGGCGCAGGGGTCCGGGACTGTGCCACCCCCAGGACCGCCCCTGAGGTCGCACGAGCCCAGCCAGCGGCGATCCCCGCCTCTCCCTCGGACCTTCACACTCGCAGGAAGCTCCTGGAGTGGCCGGGACTCAGCTGTCTGCCTTTCTAATTTGCGGGGGGGAGGGACCACAGTTGGCGCTGCTGCCCCAAAACGGCGCGCGGGGCTGCCCTGCGCCCTAGTCCCGGGCGCTCACACGCCGGCTCCGGGGTTCCCGGCGCGCTCCTCGCTGTCACTCACGCCGCCACTCCAGGTCCCCGCGCCGCCCCCCGCGCTCCTTCCCGGCCCTTCCGCAGCAGCCGCAGCCCCGGCCGCCTCTCCCCCTTCTCCCCGGGCGCCCGGCCACGGCCGCCGCCGCCTCCCTCCCCTGGCCGCGCCCGCCGCGCGGCAGCCGCCGCAGCTCCGCGCCGCAGCCCCTCGGCACCGCAGCGCAGCGCAGCGCGGCCGGTCGGTCCGGGGCGCCGCCGCCTCCTGACCGGCTCCCCCTCCTCACTTTACGGGCTCCAAAATGTGGCCCAGGCGGCCCCCTTGTGGCACTTGGGGGCGCCACAGACTCCTGGCTGGAGTCTGAAGAATTCAGACCGATTCCTCCGCACCGTGAGTTGGCACAAATCCTCCGTGGCCCAACTCCGACCCCAGCGGCCCGGCTCGGCCGCCCTCCTGGGCAGGGGGCGCCTCCCCCTTCCCGGCCCCTGGCCTGCCCCGCACAGGCGGCGGCGGCGGCGGCGGCGGGAAGGGAACCTGTCTTCCTAGCGAGCAGACAGGTGTCTGCTGGGGGCCGGGGCAGTGGCGGGGGCGGGGTGGTGAGGGGGGTCGCAGGGGCCGTGGCGAGGGGGGGGTCACGGGGGCAGGGGCAGGGGCACAGGCTTTCCTTGGGACTAAGGCTGCGTCTCCTATCCCTCTCACTCACGGGAACCTGGGGCGCAGGCAGCCCAGAGTCCCCGTCCGTCGGTGGGAGCAAGCATAGGGGCTGGGGGCCTCCCCGCTGAGGGAGCTGTGGCTGGGGGTCCTGCACTGAGGCAGGGGGCGGGGGCTGCCCGGGCGACGGGGCCCCCTCCCTGCTGCCAGCCACACAGCCCCAGACCCTTCTCTGCACCTGGCGGCCAGCCCGCAGGGCCCCTGGACGGCCCCGTGCGCCTCTGCCTCACTGTCCACCCCGGCGAGCCCCAGCCCCCTCCGCCTCCGCCTGCTCGCTGCGTGCGGCCGGTCACAGCCCTCCCCACGCAGGTTAATAATGCCATTTTCATAAGCCTCTGCCCATAGGTGCTACCACCTAATTTTGAATCTGCCCTTCAAACGGATTGGGCCACAGAGGAGCTGGGATCTCACGTACCGCTGGGAGGTGCTTGCAGCTAATCAATCCCTCCCTGCCCACCCACACCCCCCAGAGCTCAGCACAGCCTCGCTGAGCTGTCTCCAGCAGCAGGGTGTGGTGCGCAGCCTCTCACAGCCCGGTCCGTGCTGACCGTAAGTACCACACTTCACCTTGCTGGGCCTCAGTGGCTTCATCCACCAAATGGGGATCACGGCACCGGCGCTCGGCGCCACTGCCAGGGTGGGTGCCAGGCAGACAACCCAGCTCGGGGCTGGGCGCCTGGACAGGGCTCCGTCCAGCTCAGCCACCTCTGTGCCCGCGAGGTCACCTGGCCGGGCAGTGACTTACTCCCTGTCTCGCTTCCCCCACAGACCCACTGAGCTTCGGGGACAGCAAGCCAGCCGGCATCGCCTCAGCCCAGCCTCACTCGGCACTGGGCCGGGGAAGGTAGGTGCCCTGCGGGGGCTCGGGGACTGAGCGTGCGGAGGGGAAGCCGGGCCCCCTGCCGGGCGGCCCCTCGTGCTGTGGTGTGCAGTGCCAACGCTGGGGCTGCTAAGTGCAGACGTGGGCTCTGCGTGTCATCCCTCCTGCCTGCCACATCTACCGTGAGTTCCGCAGGCCGGGGGCTGCCTCCGGCTGACTTGATTTGTGTGGTTCAGCCGCCAGAGGCTTCCGTTTGTACTCCGGGCAGGGTCACCGAAGGCTGGGCTGTTGTGTGCCTGGTGACACCTGTTACATGCGTCCCTCCCTGGCCGGGTCCCGGGGCGGCTCCACGGGCGTCCCTAAGGTCTCTGGCGGGTGCTAGCCTGCTCTTATCCTCACTTGAAACCAGCAAGGGAGACTCTTATCTCCATCCCACAGGGGAAAACCCAGACTGGAAAGTGAAGGGAATTGCCGGGTCTCACAGCGAGAGCGCGGGAGGCACCGGGGCTCGTCTGGCTCGGGAGCCCCAGCCCTGCTCAGCCCGGCTGCTGCTGTGACCAGGGCCAGCGGCTCCTGCAGAAAGGCCGGGGGGTTGCACAGAGACCGTTCTCCCTGGCAACTAGCAGGCGGGCCGTAAAAAAGCCGAGGGGACCCGCGGCAGCCCCCAGAGGGGAGCACCACGCCTTCCCCTGGGCTTGTGGCCGAACAGCAGGGCAAAGGGGCAGGGGGAGGCGCCGGCACGCGCGCAGAGGGCTCCCCAGCTCGTCCCTGTCATTGACGGGGGGCTTTTGCCGTGCCGCAGAGAGAGGACAGCCAGGGGAGCGGTGTGCGGTGTGCTGAGGGCAGAGGGGGCTGGCGGCTCCCGCAGAGCCTGAGAGGCAGATGCAGACGGCGGAGGGGCTGAGCTGAGCAGCCCCCTGTCATGGGAGGCATCCGAACAGAGGCGGGCCGGGGCTTGGCTGGCAGAGGCTACCACACAGCTCCCTGCCCGGGCTGGCGGCCCACACACCTAGGCCTGGGAGGAGCTCCCACAGCACCAAGCCCCGAGCAAGCCAGGGGGGCCGGCCAGAAAGGAGCGGGCTGGGGTCAGGGCAAGGGTGCTCAGCCTTTGCTACCTAGTTTGGCCCTGGGGGGCAAATGGCAAAGGCACAGAGATGGTGAGTGGGGCACGTCTGCCCCAGTGAGGCAGTGGGAGAGAGCAGAGAACGCGGCTGAGTGCTGGGGGCCACAGTGGGGGCTGGGGCGGGGGCCTGACCTGCAGCCGGTTCCCCTCTTAAGGGCCAGGTCACCTGGGTGAGCCAGGGGTGCTTCTAGCTTCTAGGCCCAGGAAGGCTGGCCAGCGTCCTCTCTGGGGCAACAGGTTGGCAAAGTGGGTGAAGGGAGTGCAAGTCGAGGTGCTGGCCAGTCAGGGCCCTTCCCTGGAGGCTGGGCCCCGGCCCCAGCCCCAGCCTGATGCTGGACTATGACCCGGATGCTGTGAGAGGCAGTCTCTGTCATGCACACGCACACGCACACACACCTGGCCACAGGACCGGGGGACCGCGTGTTGAAGACAGCACACGCCACAGCTGGCGCCACCCTTGCTGCCTGGCCCATTCGTGGAGGGGGGAGTGCGGTTCCCAGGAACCGCAGGGGAGGGGTCTTGACAGGAGCCCTGGGCCAAACCAGCCTCTGCTCTCAGTGCCTGAGGGAGCGTCCTCACCCTCGTGCACGCGCGTGTGCCTGCGTGTGCACCGGAAGCTGTCTGGGAGCTGCGGGGCAGGGGCACACCTCCACGGGACAGAGAGGTTCTGGGGAGGGCAGCCCCGGGGGACGGGGCCGCCTCCTGCCTGTCCTGCTCCTACAGCCCAGCCCGGGAGCCTCAGGGTCGCCGCCGCTGCTGCAGCCCGCCAAGGGGGGGCAGCAGTGCGTCGCAGGTGAGCCGGCCGGCGGGCTGGCTGCCTGCCTGGGGGCCCGCGGGCAGGAGGGCCCTGTCTTGACCAGCAGGCGCTGCAGGCCACGGGGGGAGCTGTTGCTTTCCTCGGAGTCTTGGGTTTTGTTGCTGCTTTTTATTGTGGCCGTTGTTTTAATCTATTAAAGGATTGATTTGTCACCGTGTCACCGCAAACGTGCCTATGAAGTGACACTGACGGGTGGGTTACAGAGGGTGCAGGCGGAAGGCGCTCCCCCGGGACATTCTGCCACTGACAGTTTCTGGCTGGGGGCGGCGGCGGGGTGCAGAAAGGCCCTGAAGAGTTGGGTGTGGATGCGAGAAGTCACCTCCCCACAGGGCTAAGCAGGGGCAGAGGCCACAGGGCAAAACGCCTGAGCCCAAGGGGTCTGGGCGAGGGGCACCGTGCCCCCACCCCACTAATAATTCCTTCCGCTCCTGGCGCCCACAGGACCTGGCTCCCTCTCTGACACATGAGAAGTCAGGGGCTCCGGGCTTGGCAAACAGCCAGAGCCTGCGACCCTCCCCGCCAAGGCTCATGCTCCAGAGACGGGAGCCTCGCTGGGGTGCGCGGGCAGAGTGCAAGGCGGGCTTACACCAGGGAAGCTGCACCCCGCACAAAACCCTCATTGACACCGGGCCAGCCCGGAGGGCTTCTGTGAGACGGAGAAGTCGGGGTGAGCACAAGCTTTTCCAGGAATTATTAACCTCTGGAGACTCCAGCCGCTGTGCTTCCCAGCTCCCCAGCCAAGGTCCAGAACACGAGAGCCTGAACCCCCCGCCCCAGCACCAGTCGGATTTGTCTCCTTGCGTTTATAGAAAAACAGCATCGACACTCGCGCCAGAGAGCCCCATCAAAGCCGGCGGGGGCGGCCCCGGCCCCCAGGCGTTTTCAGAAAGACGTGGGGGCGCTGGACTGGGGCGGGGGGAGGCAAGGGGGCTGCTCGCTGGCCTTTTTGTTTTCTGCCGTTTGGGTCTGGGGCTCTGAAAAGCAGCCGTGGCCGCCCCTGGGAAGGGGCTGGAGCCCTCCGCGCGGCGAAGGGGCAGCAGCCACGGCTGCCGGGCGCTCCGCTCTGGCTACGGCGCTGACGACTTTTGTGTGCGATTTTCTCACTGAGATCTCGACAGCCCTGTGTGACAGGGACTATGGTTTCTTTTCTCTTTTCTTTCTTTTTTTTTTTTTTTTTTAATATCAGGAAACCAAGGCACAGAAATACTCGGGGATTCTGCCAAGGACCCACAGCTCCGTGTTCCAAAGCGGGTCTGTGCGGGACGGCTGGCTGCTTGCAGCGTAGCCGCCTTCCCAGCCCCAAACACTTGGGGACCCTGCCCCCTCAAACACACCTGCACACACATGCACACGCGTGCAGAGGCCCCCTGCTCCCCAGAGTGACGCTGGCTCAGCATCTCAGCCCCGTTCCTCTTTCTAGAAATAACTGTCCCACAGGCACAGGCTCACAGCACCGACCCTGGCCCAGACCTCACCATCACCCCCTCCTGTCCAGGCTAGACCCGTCTGCCTCTGGCAAGGCGCCGGCCAGGAGACAGTCGCCTGCGTGCGGCTGAAATTAGGCTCACAGCTCCTCGGCGAAAGCCAGCCCCCGAGACGCCAGCCGCGTCCCCCAGCCCGGATCCTAGGCTCGGCACGCGGCTGCCAGGGAGGTAAAGAGCAGTGTGGGGCGGTGGGGGCAGCCCGGGCCCCCCAGCCGTGTGCTTGCTGTGTCACAGCAAATCTGCAGACTCACCGAACACCACAGAGCAGGCGACAGGACCCTCTGACAGATGCCTGTCAGCGCGCACAGAATACGAGGTGGTTTTCAGCGAAGGGAACCGCACAGCCGCAGTGCCGGGGCCATCTGCAGAGGGACAAAGGATAGGGGTGCTGAGTGCTCGGCCACTTCCTCACCCCGAAACATGGGGCAGCGCTCAGCTGGGCTCCCCAGCGAGCTCTTGGGGGCAGTGACAGGCACGCACCCCAACAAGGGGTTAACGGCCAGTGTCGTCTCAAACACACTCTCAAAGGCCCAGGACAAGCTGGCCAAAAGCGTGGGGCCACAGCACCCATGGGGAGAGTGGTGGCTCTGTGGGGCTGCAGAGGTGGGCCATTTCAAAGTGGACCCCGAGGGTCTCCCAAGTCGGGCGAGGGGCTTTTTGTGTTCGCTTGTGTTTTGCCTTTGGGTTTTCAACCATGTCCCAGAAGAAACCAGACAGAGGATTTAAAGCGAGACAGTACATGAGGTCGGAGTGGCATTTTAGGGGGATTTCCCAGCCGCGCCCCCTCTAAGAAGCTGGGGCGAATGCAGTCAGGTGGTGTCACAGCACCAGCACGCCCACGGCCACACGCGTGAGGGGCGAGTGCGGAACAGCGCAGACGGCTTCGTCGGGTGTCAGCTAGCCGCACTGCCCTGTTACGGGCTCAGCTGGCGACACGCCCTCCTCTCTGACCCACACGGGGCCACGTTCCTTCCACGGACTCATTCTTGTTCATTTTTTGCAACACAGTAGAGCGAGCACCCTGATCCCGTGACCCATCCCGACGACAGGGCCGCTGGCCACGGCGCCCGTCTGCCCCGTCTCCTCCCCCAGAACACGTCCAGCTGGGAGTCCTGACAACAGGGGAGGGTAGGAGTGACAATGGGGCGTACAGACCCCGGAATATTAAACAGCTCTTAAAAATAAAGAGGCAGCCGAGACCTATTGTCTTTGAATGGACCTCAGTATTTTGCGCAGGACTGGATTCATCACGCTCCTTTGTTCCCAGACATGGCCTCATCACTGGCCCAGGCATGTGCTCTTTTATTTTGCTAATTTATGCATTCATAGATTCATTTGTGAGAATGTCATAAGCACTCACGGGCTCACTCCGCACACCCGGCCTTAGCAATCACTTACACCTGCCTCCCGGGCCGCCCGCCCCCCAGGGCCGCTGCCTCCGGAGAAAGCACTCCAGGATGCCGAGGTGCTGTCGCGAGGGCTGGGCTGATCTCTGTTATCTCCACGCAGACTCCTGGAGGCAGAAAAACAGGCTGCGGTGAGCGCCACAGAGAACACTTCACTGAGACCGGAGTGCCACGGGGTAGGGGTGCTTACACACACAGGCAGACAGGGCAAACACCTGGAGGTGCACACCCAAAGGTCCCCACAATGGCTCATCAGGGCAGAGGGGGAGGCGGGGCTCAAGGCGGCTCCAGCTTTATCTGCAAGGTTGCGTTCTCACGAGTGAATGTGAATTATCCATGCATTTCCTGCACACTGAAAACAACCATTGTACGCGGAAGGGGGGCTCTGAGGGGGGCTCACATGTATTTGTTTGTGCGGATTTTTTTGGTTTTGTTTTTACAAATATAAACAAGAGCATCTGGCTGGCGGCGGCTGGGGAGCCAGCAGGTACCAACCAAACAAGTCCGGCAGACACCAGGGATTCGGTTTTTATTGCAAAGATTTTTCTGTTTTAATTCTACACTCTCCGCGGTCTGTCGCAGACAGGAGCCCGGCAGGTGCGTGCCCCCGGCTGTGACTTCACCACCCACAGCCCCCGACCCCTCCCGGGCCGCCCGCAGGTGCCCGCAGTGCACCCGAGGGGGAGTACTTTCCTTTTCCGTCTGGAAGAGGCCAGGAAAGCGGATGCCCTGGCCCGTGGTCCCGGGGATTAGCTGGCTGGAATGAGCGTTCCAGGGGAATGTGACACGGGATAGGTCCCGGCGAAGACACGGGGCTCCAGCCCGCGTGCGTCAATAGCCAGACAGCTTGCTGGCAAAGAGCCGGGGCCTGCGTGTCCCAGGACAGCTCAGCTCCCATGCAGGACACACGATCGACACGTTTCCTCTCAGAGCCTCACCCTCAGCGACCGTGGGCTCAGCGGCACAGGTGTGGCTAACCCCCGCGGCCCCCCTCCCCTGGCGGAGCCTCCATCTGCAGGGACGGCTAATTGGTTAATTGTTTCACCGCCTCTCGCTGGGGAGGGCAGCCGGAGCCCTTGTCTCTCTGCTTGGCAGGTGCGTATGTTCAAACATGACCCCGGGCAGAAGCAGTGCGAGGCAGGTTAACCAGCCGTCAGCCCGCACGCCGTCAGCCCGCACGCCGGACAGGCCTGCTGCTTGTTGCCTGCGGTTCTACTTTGGATGGGGCTTGGTGCCAAATATCTTTAGGATAAATTTTTTTAAAAAATCAAGTGCAATACCCAGGTTGGAGTGACCAAAAGCAGCCTCGAGGCTGGGTTACCCCAGCGTGGAGGCGGCCACAGCCCGTGCAGCACCTGTGACCTCAGGACAAGTCCATAAAAGCCCGAGCCTCGGGGGGACGTCCTCTGGATCCTCAACAATGCACAGAGCTTCCAACACCACGGGGGAAGAGAGGCACCTAAAATAAGGCGCCACTTGTACATGCTGAGGACCTGCTGTGTGCAGCGCACTTTGCAGCACTGGAAAGCTGTGGGCCCCATCTGGCAGAAGAGGGGAAGGTGGCTTAGAGTCACCTGTCCAGAGTCACAGCCTGCCCTCACTGTCCGCGAGCAGACTCCCTGGGTCCCACCGCGGGTGTCCCAGGGGGCACCTTCACAGCACAGTGACAGAGCACAGCATGTGACAGAGTCTGACACCTCCCTTGCTTGGTGCAACGTGCAGCCGAGGGCGGCGGGGCATTCTGGGCCTTGGATTATGTTACTGTTAAGGCTGCGTAGCCACCATCACCACCCCCCACCCCCCTGAGGTCCACCTCCCGAGATGCCAGGTGTAAGAGACGGGCAGACGTACCTGGCAGGGCCCCAAGTGGGTCTGGGATGCTGGTCTCCTTCAAGGTGACTGTCCTGAGGGGCCAGGCTGGGCCACACACTGGCCTGGGGAGCCCGCTGACCCACTGCCCATTGTGGGCAGTGAGCCTCGGCTGCACGAACAAAGGCGCCAGTTAGTTCCATTCTCAGAAATCTACAAATTCGCAAACTGTCTGAACTGACACATTAGGGAGGAAAAGCTCATTTTTCAGACCTTTGATTTGTTCCCGGGCCAGGCAGCTGCTCCTTTCCCAGGGGAAAGCGGCCATCTCGGCAGGGCACCTGGACACCTGGACAGGGGGACAGACACTCTCAGCAGGTGCCACAGCCTGGGTGCATCCCCCGCCCAGGCCAAGGCCGCCTGTGTGTGGAGGGAGGGTGGGATCAAGCACGGAGCAGGACAGAACTCGACAGGGTGGCTAGGAAGGGGGTCCAGCCTGGGAACACAACACTTACTGCCCATGGCGGTGGCAGGGTCGGGAGGAGCTAAGAAATGTGCTGCCCAGGGTCCCCCAGAGGCCTGGCCTCCCTACTCACACCCACGCCGCATCCATTTGCTACAAAAAAAAAAAGCTGGGGGGGGGGGCACCAAGAACCAGGGGTTTGCCAGGAGCTCGGACTTGAGCTCGAGAGAAAGGCCTGGACAGACTGCTGGGCTGCCCCCCGCGAGCCCAACCTCAGGGACAGGGCTTCCTGGTGACGCTGGACCCACAGTGGGTTGCAGGGATGTCCCTGAGCCCCCGATTTGTCTTCTGTAAAGGGGGATGACGAAAATAGCCCCCGACATGCCTCTCTGAGGATTAAAAGACGCAGGGTATCTGAGGTGCTTCCGAGTGTGTGGCACACAGTAGGTGCTCAAGGAGGGGACGCAGCCACAGGCGGCAGTGGGGAAGAAAGGGGCCCATCGGGGAACAGAGGTGGGTTTCGAGACTGCGTGGCCGTGGCCGTGGCCGTGGCCGTGGCCGCCGCCGTAGACACCGAACAAACGTCCAAGTCCGGACTTGTGTGGTCGAAGAAATAAGCCTGCCCAATCGCTTTTCAGAGAGAAGCGGCGGTTAGAGTCCAGCGGACACCGGCGGTTCCCTCGGACGCTCGCGGCCAAGGTAAGACACGGGGGAGGGGTCCCGGGGCTCAGAGGGGCTGAGGGTGCTGGGTGCGAGTCAGCGCTCGGGACCAGGTTTGTCTCTAAGAAGAATCATGACACGGTGGGGTACTGGCAGGCCCTGGTCAGCCATGCCAGCCGCTATAATTAGCAGGTCCCAGGCCAGCTGTCCCATTCCTCTACCGAACCAAATAAGCCAAAGTGGGCTGAGGACGACAGCACGCGCCTTTTGGGGAGGTGGAGGCAGCCACGGAGGCCCCCACGCCTGCGGTCTGGCAGCACATCAGGCCCCGAGGCCGGCAGGATCAAGACATGGAATGAAAGCCCCTCCAGGTCCCAGAGGCCACCTGCCCACCCCACCCTGCACACATGCGCCTGCAGGCAACGCCCGCCATGGGATGGGGGCTGGCTCGGGGCCTTGCCTCTACCTTTCACTTCTAGGGGCCCACTGCCGGCCCTCAGCCCTGCACCACAGTTCCACCCTGCAAACTGGGGGAGCTGCCCCCGCCGGAGAGGGGCGGAGCCAGAACTGGGAGCGAGTGCACCCTAATTACCCCTGACCAGGCCACAGTCTGCCTTCCTCCAGGGGTGGTCCCCAGTGGCCGGGGTCCCCGTGCCATGACCACTGCCGGTCAGGGCCCCTCACAGGGGACCCTGTGGGCTCCAGCTGACTCGGTTTCAGAGCAGGACGCCGTCCTCTCCCGAGGCTAATGGGAAATTAAAGCTGACACCGTGCGTGAAATTCTGTCCACAGCCTGGCCGTTACAATCAGAGTGGGTGTTCCAATAATCGTGAGAGTCCTAATGGCATCAGCAATCCCGTGCCTGCTTGTACTTTTAATTGTTTACAGAGGGCTGCCCTGGGAAGGAGGCGCTGCTTCTACCCTGTAAATGGAGACACGGAGGTTTGGCCAGGAGAGCCGGCCCCAGCGCCCCTGGCCCCAGAGCAGAGCCGGCCCCAGCGCCCCTGGCCCCAGAGCAGAGCCCTCCTCATTCTCTCCAGAGTCACCACCTTCCTGTTCCAAAAGCTGCCGCAACCCTAGGCCCCAGCCTGCGGGGTGAGCCACACAGCCAGGAGGCATAGGCAGGGGCCCAACAGTGACAGGAAGGGGTTCCATCCCAAGACCCCTCCCACCCGGGAAACACTCTGCTTCCTCCAGGGACTCCTATTTAGATGTGACACGCTCACACAGCACTGTGGAGAAGCTGCTGGCAGCCTGGCGCAAGACCGCGGGTCAGCGAGTGTCCCCAGGGCCCTGGCCACCACGTCCCTCACCACTGCTCCCCAGAGCTCCAGGAGCAACGTGAACGAGCTGGACCCCAGGCCCCCTTGCAGAATTGGGGAAACTGAGGGCAGGGACAGGAAGCTCAGAGTCAGAGCCCGAGCGGGCCTGGGCGCTGGGCGCAGTCCCGGGCCCTGCCCGCTTGCCTTCAAAGGCAAGTTCGGCTTCAAGAGCAGCTGATTGGCTCCGCCGATCAGGGCAGCCCAAGGACACAGTGGCCGGTGCCCCTCTCTCAGGCCTCTCTCCCCCTCCCAGGTTATTCTGGGCAGAGTGATCCAGCTGCCCCCTGGAGCTGCCAGTCAAGAGTGGAGGGGGCAGGGCCATGGCCATAGGAACATCGCTGGGTCAGGGCGCTGCCCTCCAGCTCAGGGGTGCTGGAGGGGAGGGGCTGAGGGTCCCTCTGCAGGCAGCCCCTCATGCCGGGCTACGCAGGAGGCCTCGGCTGCAGTGAGACTGGAGGCCAGTGCTGGGTCATGGCCTCCCCCACCCCTCCCCGCAAAGGACATAGCTGCCACATCACCACGACGGTGTCCGAAGGGCGAGGTCAGGGCTGTGGACAGGCACCCCAAGACTCAACCCTAGCTCCTCGTGGGGCTACAGGAAGCCCACCTACCTCCCCCACCCCCAAGCGGCAGTGAAATGGCCAGAGCAACCGACCCTACCACTCACCCCTGCCAGGGCAGGCCTCAGCCTGCCAAGGGCAAGCCATGACTTTGACACTGGCTAGCAAGACAGAAGGCTGACGCTCCGTGGCCCTCCCAGCACCTTGTAAGCCCACCCTCATCAGAACGCCTTCACTCCCACAGCCCAGGACGGCAGAGTTGGGGGACCTTAGCCCCCGAGGCCTGTTGGCTGCCCCCTCACACTCCTGGGGCTCTGAGTGCTGCCTGCAGGGAGGCCAAGATGGACAGGGGCCTGCACCTGACACCCACGTGGCAGCAGGGGACTAGGGACTCCAGGTGGAACAGGGCTGCAGCCTGAGCCTGCAGGATGGCTTAGGGACAGCCGTGTCCCTCCCAGCCTCCCAGGCCCACTGGGCACTGGCTCTACCTTCCTCCTCTTCCTCCTCCTGGGCCTCCCGCCTCCTCCCCTGTCCTCACCTCTCCCCTAATTCCTCCATGCCCGCCCCCCACCCCCTGCCCAGCCCTGCTCCTAAATATCTTCCCATCTCCTCTTCCAAGCTCTATTTTTAAAATCAGATTTCCTTTATTGTACAGAGGGCTGACAGGGAGAGGTATTCGCTGAGGGATGGCCCCCGCCCCCCGTGCCCCCCCCCCGCCCAGCCCTTCATAGATGGACGGTGGCAGCCCTCACCTCGGCCACTTGCGCAGCGGCAAGGCGCCGACCTGACCTGACCGAGGCTCTGGGCACTGCCGGTGCCGAGGCGGCCAAAGACCAAACGCAGCGCTGACCCCAGACCAGGTGCGCCCAATCCCGATGCGGTTTTTGCGGGGTTTCTGTTGGGTGGGGCTATCAGGTGGGATTTCCCAAGCAAGGGATAATTCCTAGAGAAACGGCCCGATGCTTGGGAACCCCACTGATGCAGATGCGGGCAGGGCCCAGCGTCATGGGCAGAGCAGGGCGGGCCCCAGGCGGTGGCGGGTGTGCTGGTGGAGGGCGTGGGTCCCCCAGGAAGCTCACGGGGACTGCCCGGACCCTAAGCAGAACAGGACGGAGCCCCCTGACAACATCCGAGTGCACCCAGAGGAGCAGGCAGCGGAGCCCCTCACTCAGCCCCAAGACCCCCGCTCACCTCCAGCAGGCACTAGACGGGGTGGGGTCCTCATCTCCACAGGCGGAGCTGCCTCCTTCCCTACACCCAGGCCACACGGTGCAGGGCCCGGACAGAGCGAGGAAGGAATGAATGAACAAATCAATGAATGGCAGGTAGCTGTAAGGACGACATCTCTAAGAGGCATTTCCTGGCGGGGGGGGGCGACTTGAGAAACGCAGGGGTCTTCCCGGCACGTGGCTGCCATGGGAAGGTGGTGACGGTCAGGAAATTGTAACCGGGAGTTTGTTTCCTCCTGGATTTGCATTTTAGGGGGAGAAATCCTGACTTCGTTTTGAGAGGTGGCAGCATCAGAATTTCCTATCGTGCTAAGGAGTTGGGATTTTTTTTTTTTTTTTGGTTAAAGGGTTTTGAGAGATGCGTGGCGCGCTGGCTCTCGTGGGACGGGAACGTGCAGAGAAGCGTGATCAAGTGTATCTATTGGCTGACAGCTCGGGAAAGGCTGGGAAGTCTCCAGCCCAAGAGTAACAGCCACGACCGTCGGGATCACGCTCGGAGGCCCTCCCGTCCAGGGAGTGCCGCCATCGGGCCGCAGAGCGGGCAAGGAGACTTGGTTAGTGTTGGAGCCAAAGCTGAAAGGTTCTAATCACAAGCGTTACACGGTCGTGAATATGCGAAGAAAGGATTGTTGGACATGATTGGGGTTTCTGCAGGCATGCCTAGAAAGCTGCTCCAGCCAGTGATGAGTTTCAGTTTTTTTTTATCTTTTGTTAGACATGTCTGGTAAATAGCATGCAAACTGAAAAAAAAAATAGAACACATTTTAGCTAAGAATTTGGTATTCCATTCCAGACGCAATTAAGAGACACTTTTTTTTTAAGGTGGAGTTACAAGATCTGATTTTATATATATTGTACTAGGAAGTGTGAATTTTATTTTAAGGATGACATGATCAAATTTTATGCCATGCTAATAAGTTTGGATTTAAGCCAATGAAGAGCTTAAAGGAGCAGCAGGGCAAGATGTGTGTGGTTTGTTTTTTTTTTTTTAATAGACCAGCCTGAAGATAAATTACATGGGAAAACGTTACATTTTACGTTAAGTACTTGGGACTTTATATTATAGGCAATGAAAAACTTTGGAAAGTTTTAGAATCGAGGAGCTGCGTGCTCAAACTTGTGCATTTCGGCAGAGCTGAAAGAGTGGATTTTTATGGTAGAATATGATCAGGTCTTACAGCATGCTAAGGAGAAGCGATTTTACGGGAGAGCCCAGGCAGCCCAGCATTCCATTTGGAGGAGCGGGCGGGGATGATCTCATTGTTGGATGCTCACGCACAGGCGGTTGGAGTTTGGCCAATAGAGGGTTTCAAGGAGTGAATTGATGAGAGTTTTGTCTCCAGAGGAATTCAGAGGGTAAAACATGTTTTGTGCTAAGGTGTCTGGATCTGATCAAGCAGGTAATGAGTAAGCACCCGGCGCTCCTCGCCAGGCCCCCACCCTCGGCCCCGGGACACCCCAGGCTGGGAGCTGGGTCCTGGGCAGGCGCGACAGGCAGGGCTGATCTGACCGGCGTGCCGGGAAGCGTGCGTGCTGCCCGGCCGAGCGGCCGGGTCACACCTCTATGCCAAGCCACAGAATCTGGATTTGTGCCACGAAGAGACTTGAAGAAAGGGACATTGCAAAGTTTCTGTGCTGGTTAGAGCAGTCTGGGGGAAATTTCTGAGTGAAATGCATTTTCTGAACAGCTTAGACCTTGTCGCATAGGTAACTGAGCGCTGTTACAAAGCTCTCGACCTGCATGGACGCGTGGCTTTTGGTTTATTGTGAGGGTTGACAGGGTCCAGGTTTGGTGGGTTTGTTTTGTTTTGGCGTGGTTGTTTTCCGGTTTTGTTTGTTTATCGCACTGAGGTTTGGAATTAGGCCAATACAGAACTTCGGGAATGGCCTGGTGAGATCTGGGGTTTTGTATCGTCAGCTGGCAAATAAATTATGTGGTTAAAACTTTCATTTTATGCAAAGCGATTACAGCTTCCTACTACAGAGAAGGAGACACTGTGGGAGAACGCCATGCGTCTTGCTGAAAGCTTAGACTTCACTGCTAAGGCGCGCTCAGGTTTTTGTGACATGCCAAGGACATTTTTGGTCAGAAGCAAGGAAGCTGCGGTGTCATCGCCTGCGTGGTCGAAGTGGTGCGGATGCTAAGACGTGAAGCCTTCCTATTAATAAAGTAATTAAGAATTTAAATTTAGCCAATAAAGCATTTTAAATGAGGGACATGCTGAGGTTGTGTCAGGTAGGTTTCCAAATGCATTACAAAGTCAGCTTCCTGCGTTCCGACCGCAACCTCACGTCAGAGACCTGAGACTTCACTGTGATTGTGCACAGCTTCGGGCACCGTCCCGAGGGGGAAGCTGGCCGTGCGGCGTCTACGTGGGTGTCGCTGCGGTGGTGTGGGTGTGGTGATGATGGTGACGGTGATTCTTATCTAATGTGTGCACCGCACTTAAAAAAAAAAATGGGATCTCTACTGAGTGGGCGACATAATCAGCATCTTGTATTATGCCAAGGTCTTTAAATTTCAGCCCGAGAGTGGTTTGGTGAATTTACATGTCAGATGTGTTTATGCTAAAAGAGTTGGATTAACTGCTGCAGACAGTAAACAAACAGTGAAAGGCTTTAATCAGGAGGACTGCATGATCAAATTTAAGTGTCATGCTCACAAGAGTGCACTTAATTTTGAGAAACAGCAGATCCAAATTTTGTATCCTTTTGGATGGAAAATTTGGATTTTGGCCAATGAGGAGTTTTATGTGAGGGAACGCGTGCTCTTTTCTAGCTCACTAAGGGCCAAGAACACCAAGAAGCAACAAAAGGTGGAAAGAACATCCCCTAGGGCCAGCCCATGGGGTCACCAACGCTCTATTTGCCCCGATACAGAACAAGTGTGCAAAACAGTAACAGTAACGAGAACAGCTCCAACCAAGATGTCCACGTCTCTTTAAATCCAGCCTCAGCCCGCTCGAAGCTCCCATCCCTGGATCCCCAAACCCCCAAGACCATCAGGTTTCAAAGACCTCATGCACCCCCTACTCCCATCTCTCAGGGTCCCTTCACCCTTTGCTGGGGGTGGGGGGCCCCAGCAGCAGAGGGAGGTAGGGGAGCCCCGGCTGCAGGGGCAGTGAAGACGCAAAGTCAGGGAAATGAGTGGGACACGCGCACGCCCCAGAAGCACCCCCACAAAGAGGTCCACCCAGAGGAAGAACAGACTGTTGGGGGCGGGGGACCATGGGAAGGTCTCCTCCACGCTCAGAGTTGGGGAGCATGGAAAGCAGGTCCCAGAAATCCCACCCCCCCGACCCCCGCCAGAAAAGCTAGACGTACAAGGCTCCCACACGCAGGTACTTTGTGCACGCGCCCGGAAAGGCAAACGAGCCAAAGCTGGAACCCAGACTGTGGTGCCTCTCCCTCACAAACTCTGGCTTTGAACCTGGAGCAGGAACTAAGCTATTCTGGGCTGCTGACCCAACTGGTGGGACAGGGGCCAAGTGCCTGTTTTCTCCTTTCCCACCGAATTCGGGAAGCGGAGGCATCCCCTCGGCCCAGGAGGCTGGGCCTGCTCCAGGGAGCACCGCCTGCCAGGGCTGGCGCTCCGTGGCGCTGAGCTGTGACCTTTGTGATTTTCGGGTAACCAAAGAAGGGACGGAGGACCGGCCGGCGTGTGTGCCAGGGTGGAATGAGGCAGCCGTGCCTCCTGCCAGGTGCCGCTCTGGGCCAGTCACAGCACAGGATTTATGAGCTGTGAATTTCTCACCCCCGGGGAGGAAGCGGGCAGGCCAGGCAGACTGAATCCGCCTGGGAGGCAGGTCAGGGGTTGACAGAGATCCTCTCCCCAGGGTGCCTCCCTGAAGTGACCAGGCGCTGGATGCTGGAAGACGCTCCCCAGGGGCTGCCCCAGTGACCAGGCACTGGGCGCTGGACGTCTCCCGGGTACTACCCTGCCCTGCTCAGTCGGGCATCACTCCCAGCCTTGAAAACCTGACCCTGACCGCCTGCTCCCCTCCCCACCCCCTCCGCCCCCAGGTTCTCATCGCCAGGGTCCCAGCCGCTCACCGGGCGCAGCGCGACCTTACCAGTCTTCAGAAAACAGCACTTCCCGCCGACGACAAGATAGAACCCTCTGAAGACTCATTTGAGACGATGATGGAGCCTAAGAATCCATCATCAAAACAAATGGAGTCCTCCGAGGGCTCATCCAAGACCACCATGGAGGCAGCAGGCAGAGGCGCGCAGGAGGGGGCGGGGCCGGCCCGCAGCCCAGCCCAGGGAAGGAAGGAGCCACCCAGGGGCTCGTTGGAGAAAATGGAAGAGCTGCCCACTGATCTACTCCAAGACATGGAGGAGCCATCCAGTGGCCCACGTAAGGAATTAGAGGATCCACCCAATGACCTACTCCAAGACCTGGAGGAGTCATGCAACGGCTCACGCCAGCCAACGGGGGGTCCACGTAGCGAAGCCTCGGAGGGAACACAGGAAGCCTGGGACAACCCGGCCGGAGCCACAGCAGGGCCGGGCGACGACACCGACGCAGAGGCAGAAGGGGCA